GTAGTGTGTGTGTGTGTGTGTGTGTGTGTGTGTGTGTGTGTGTGTGTGTGTGTGTGTGTGTGTGTGTGTGTGTGTGTGTGTGTGTGTGAGTAAGTGGGTGGGTGGGTGGGTGTGTGCATGCGTGTGTGTATATATATATATATATATATATTTCATGGGATGTATATACGAAGACTATATCCCCGCGTAAGAGTGGCTCGGCAATGTTCGAGCTCGCTGAAATAGCTTCAGGATTGCCTTGAGAGGATCATCCTTATTTGAAAGTTGGATGAAAATCTCATTGTCTTTAGAACGTACGTTTCCGGAAGATGACCCGAGATCTTACAGTTCCTGACATTGATAAGACGCAATCGAGCCCGAGCCGAAAACGGATTTGAAGTAGATCCAAAATGACACATTTAGAAACGGCTCGATCTATTCCGATTTCTTCCTGGTGGAATCTCGAGTGGATTCTCGAGCTAGTTTGTCGAAGATAAAGCACACGTTGAAGCATATGCATGCAGACGGTTGCTCCAAGTTTCATTCTTGTAATTTTTTGAATAAACGCTAAAATAATAAATTTTACTTGTAAAATAGTATGACACTTTTTCTATTTTTCAAATTGTTTATTTGCGTGTAGTTAAAAATTCTCGTTCGTATAACCTTTTTAATAACAATAAAGTATACGTTACTAGTACTGCTCCTCATCTACCGGACGAATATACCAGGGCGAAACTAATTTTAAGACACGTTTCTTCGGGTCTCGAAACTCTCTAACTCTCTTGACTGGCAAATAATGGCATTCCTATTGCATGTAAATTTCTCTCTTGCAAGTACTGCGCGAGTACGTGGGCGATGACGACGGGGGAGATGCACCATGCACACGGACATCGAACGCGGCGACCTGGCACGACTGGCAGATACAACCTGGCTGTTAGTTTAGCTCAGTTTAATTTAGTTTAGTTTAGTTTAGTCAATAGTTCAGCCGTTATTGTACCCCGACATGGCAGCGAGCACCGAGGACCACCCTCTTCATTTGCATACCGGGTGTGCCCGCGTAAATACTCGACTCGGAAAAGTCTGCTCTTGGCACATCAAAGGGACGCGATGCGAATTAATCCCCGCGTTACCATCCCGCCCGCAAACAGAACCGACGAAATATCGGCTTTGAACGACGGCGTCATTGTTGCGCGTAAACGTATCGTTTAGAGAGGCAAACGCGCCTTGGCGGCTGGTGATAAAGCGCGATCGTTGTCGCGGCCGTTGGCAAGTTTCGCGAATCTCTCTCGAGACAAAAGACAATAACATTCCCGATTAAATAGAGCGTGTTTAATAGAGTCACTCTTGATGAGATACCTACGAGCATCAAATATCACCAGTTAATAAAACTGTACGCATTTTTTTTATTGACTCAAACAATAATATACATAACGCAAGCATTGCTCAACTTTTCTCCAGTTGATGTTTACAAAGAATCACATATAAAATAGTTTACTCTGCGCAGTTATATATATATATATATTCGTATGTATACACATGTATGTACGTATATTCAATAGTTAGTTAGCGATAAAATGTATACGAGGACTTTGAATATTGCGAGTTTTACACGTGATTCAAGGAACAATGCAAAGTGGTGTAAAATGGCAAGCTTTTACTTACCAAAATAGTGTAATTATAGATACTATCAATGCAATTGCATAAATTAATATTATCTATAATAAAAAACCCTCGATGCATTTTTTGATATTTTGCAATTAATAATATAATCTGTATAATTACTAATATAATTTTGTATAAATAATAATTAATATATATTTCATACTAATTATTCCGTTTTAATAAAGAGTATTATAATTAATATACTATATAAAATCCGGGCTTATATTATAGATAATATTAGATTAATTCAACTCGATAAAAACAAAAATTAAGAATTATGAAGTATTTTATTAAAAGCATTGTACGATGTTTCTAGATCAAATATTAATTGTCTGACCTGAGTGTCCGACAATTCGTCTGAGGCAGACATATTGTCCAGAGTTTGTAACCATTCTGCAACTTTCTCTTTACCGTCAAAATCACTGGGTAATATACTGAGTCGATTCATAGTATCCATGAGATCTCTTAGATCTGGATGCAATTGATCCATGGCTTTGATTTCTAATCGCAGTTTATCCATAAGCGTGATAAACAGCGAGACAATGTCTGCGATACACTTGGAAGTATTGCCTTTGTCATCTTTTATTGTGATCGGTCTGTCTTCCTTGATTCTCTCAAGAGCAGCAGGACAATCTAAACGGAATGCTCGAGTAAAGGAATCAATTGTTGGAAACTGATCACTTTGCACCTATAACAAAACATGAAATTATTAAAGTTTATCTTTAAATACATTCAATAAATAAATAACTTAAAAATTAAATAACTTTAGTAAATTCCTAAGCATCATACATTAAAGATATATTCTTGTCTTAAGCTTGAGCTATTAGCTATAGGTCGTTATTTACAAACACAATAAAATGTAATTTGCAAATACATGCAATACAGAGAACACAATAATGCCTTGATTCATCATTCTGATATGTTTATAAATTGCATTTTGTCACTAATGACTTATATAGATTCGCCTTTACTTATACCTTACTTATAAATGTTCACCTGTTTAAACGCTGCTCTGTATTGCACTAACAATTTGCTACAAGCTGCTGTATATTCCTTTGGCGTAACGCAATCTCTGATGTAAGCCTTTTCCAAATGTTGCAATGTATTTACTACGGCGTACAGATCCGCTTGGTTATCATGCTTCTCCCTTTCCCGGGCATTTTTGTAAAGCTTAACTTCTTCATATAACTCTGGACGATCCTGAGCAATGGACATTCTAAAAGAAAAACATATCTCAATAACATTCGAAGGTTTCTAGGTTTCTAGGTTAGGTGCGATACACTAATTATTCGTAAAAACGCCAATTAAACAAGTATCACGTCAATTTATGAGACATGAATTGATCTTGAACGTCTTTAAATTAGACAGAGCCTCAATGAAATATCTAATCTTTCAAGCAATTTAATTCGTTAACATGAAATAATTTCGATACACAATGTAAAGTTTTATATACCTTTCCAATGCGAATATTATTAATTTCACGTCTATCTATAATGATGATTATTATGGTATTATTATTAAGATGACAAGAATTACAAGAGCAAAGCAATTGAGTGACAGCCAAATAGCTTATTGTCGCACGCAACACTGACTAATCATATGGAATACAGAGCCATCTGCGAGACAGTTAATAATGGCGATGTTAGACAGCGCAGTAGTCGACTTTATTTATTGTGGATAAATTACAAAAATCTAGATTTTTTAAACATCTTAGAATGTATTTTTTTTAAACATTTTAGAATATATAATTACATTTTTCGAATATTACTGTCTATCGAATAATGTTGATTAAAAAAATATATCTAATTTAAATCACATGATATAAACATTAAACATTTTTTTATTATTTTAGCCTGACACATTATTAAAGAAATACCGCATTTTAAAACTTTTTGAAAACATATATACATATAAATTGCACAATTCTATTTTTGTATTGTATTACCGTAATTTTATATATTTAAAAGCTAAAAATATAGCCAACGTTTAAGAAATGTAACATAATATTTTCATTATAACTTTAAGAAGAATTTAAATATAACCTATAAGTACTGGAAAATTCAACGATATATATTATCTTAAATATACAAAAGAAGCGCACAAATTAAATTAAAAATTAAATATCTCCTGCATTATGTCGGGTTTGTCGCTGCTAGGCTTTCTTGCACAGAACGGCAATTCCCTTTGTTCTTCGATACAGGGACAATTAAATTCTTTAAGAATTCGCTTTTGGCGTTTATGCGAGTTTTCCATGTTTCTAATATTAGGTATTTCGTGATTATTATTTATACTTATATACATTGCTTCGAGAACAAGATCATTTTTATCTAAGATATTCCAAGGCGGATAAACATTTATCACAACTTCCGACATCATTTTCAATGTACCGACTATATCACAGACTAGAATAATTGTTATATTTTTGTATAAAGTTTTCTTTGATTGAGCTTGATTATTATGTTCTTCCATCTGTTCGTCACTTTGTAAGAGATTGAAGCGATCCTCGATTAGGATACCTTCCAGGAACTGATTACCAAATTGTTTTATAGACTTGTGTATATATACACTGATGTATCGTGCTGTCGTAGCATCATATTCTTTGTTCATTCGATAACGCCATATACGAACATTGGATATTTCTGCATTGATCAAAGACCGAAGTTTTGCAACCATGCTTCCTCTGAAATAAAAATATAACGTTAGAAATCACATTTACAAAAAACTGTCATTGATGTCCATTTCTACTATTATAGATTAATTTCAATTTAATTTCAACTTAATTTACTTTTTACTTGTCTCTAATTCTTAGAACTAAAAAGAGATGAAAAATAAGTTAAATCAAAATTAAAATTAATCTATATTGATAAAAATGCACATAAGACTTACTTCTTAGGCTTGCGACGTTTCTTTCCAGAGTTCAAAAGATGTGCATACATATTCTCATCTGGAGACTTTTTCGATGGAGTTGTTATCGTACTAATAATGGCTTCTTGAGTCGATTTGTTACTTGTCTTTTGTGTGGTTTTATTCAAAGATGGCACTTCAGATATCATTGCTGACAGACATATACCTTGATTTAGCATCATTTCTGCTTCTGAACAATAAGTTTCATCTGAGTCATTAGTAATTAACTGTGAAATAATAAATGGTTGTTCTGAAAGAATTGGAGCTTTATTTACTGAAAAATTTGATGAGCTTGAGAGACGAGATGTTTTTATATTTTCTTGTGTATCTTCTTGTGTATCAAAGTCTTCTATCAAGTTATTTAAATTGTTGCTACTACTATGTATGCTTAAAAATTCATCATGTTCTTCATCTTTACTATTATTGTTTACACTTGTTTCTATCTCTGAATTACTTTTGTCAGTCAAATTATTTGAGCTGTCGACGAAACTTAATTTCTCTTGTGTCGGCGATGAAAATGTTTCTATACATCTTTGATATTTCTCTGAACTTTTATTTGTGTTGGGCGTTCCAGCTGAAATATCCAAATTTTCTTGCAACTTATTATAATCCACAGGTGTTTCTTTCAAATTATTGCAATTATTATCAGGCTCTGTTATTAATTTCATATCTGTGATTTTATGATCATATAACTTTAAATGTTTTGGAGAAATGCCATATTCTAATTCATACTGTAATTTTCTCCTTGTTTTTTTATAAACACGACCAAGGACAGGAGACATCTCATCAGCAACCACCTTTTCGATACAAGGTGGTGTATACTGCAACTTGCTCACATGATTCTGTTTGTCTTCACTGTTTTCTTCTCTTTCATATGGCTTGAATGGTATCGTGTAATTCACAGAATATCTCACATCGTTCTGGCACTCATCATTACTCAATCTTTTCACTGTAGCGTTTCTATTTATACAGACTTTTCCCCTAGGTCGTTTCCTACTCTTACTGAGGATCGGCGATTTCTCGGAAGCCGAGGTAGTCATCGCTGGAACAGAGGACGACTCGGACGAATCGGTTTCGCCGTTCTCGTGAGTCTCGAGCCATTTACGCACATAATTCTCCTTCTCTGTGCACGGTATCCGGGCCACATTCTCGTCGATCACGACGACGCGATTCGATGCGAAGTGCTGCTCTACGACGTCGAGCTCCAGGATTGCATGTCCGAAATTTAAACATCTTACGTGTCTCGGTCTAGCGTTGCGCGGTAATTTATCCCTGCGAGAATGAATGCAGCTCGTTTCATTGTAGTTCGACATCGCAAATAAATCTGCTTATACATATAGCCTGTTTGGCACGAAATCACGCAACCACGTATTACATCGCAGAGTCTGAATTACTGGATCACACTGGACGCTGCCATGTCACTGTTGCCGTGGCAACCAATCCGTATTTTAAGATCATTGCACCCTGCGCCAAAATCGAAGACCCGTAAAAAGCCAAGAAGTGAATCGATTAATCGAATGTATTTTCTTTAACTTTCTTCCTCGAGAACGCTCAATTGCAATTAATCAATTCTCTTATTATTCAAATTTCTTAATTTAAAAAAAATTTTTTTTGTGCATATATCTTAACTTTAAAGTTATAGAATTATCCGCATTTTCCAATGATGTTTTATATAAAGAAAAATTGTGAAATAAAATTCGCAATTTTTAGAAGTATAGATTTCGAAAAGTTAAATAATTTTACAAAAAAAATTTTAAGTGAAACAATTATACTTAAACAGTTATAAAAAGTATTTGAAATAATTATTAAAATTTGAGTTTAATTTTTACATTGATTATTATATGGATAATATTATTATTAATATATAAAAAATTACAATAATACATTTTTCTTATATTTTTATATAAACTATAATAATTCTTATTTTTTGTAATGCAAAATTTGATGTATCAGATGAACTCTAACAGCAAAAGATAAAAAAGATCTATTAATACAATACAATATCAATACAATATCAATACAATATCAATACAATACAATAATAATTATAGTAATTAATTGTAATTAATAAAAAAATAATTTTGAAATGTGTCTAATAAAACAATTATCGCTTAATACTAATACAAATTTAAATATTCATCAAATACAAAAGAGTCGCCAAATTAGAGAGAATATTTTATCTACAAATCGAACACAAATGAATAAAAAATCGTATATATCTAATTCCTCAATTATTTAAGTTATTTAAAGATTCTATTGTACATACGACAGTTTTATATTTCGTTCTGCGCCTTCCCACTTCGATGGCGTGCTTAAATGTACAAATGCGAGATTTAGTGTAATAATATCCTGTGCTCCGCGAACCTGCCTCAATAGCATCCGCTATAGCTCTGATTTGAGCATGCGGATGTGATACTTGGACGACTATCTTACCCCAATACCGAGTGCTCTTATTCAAATGGAACGACAAGGTGTTCCTTCCGATCCCGTTCGACGATGATTAAACCTTTATACTCTCGAAGCATCAGCTTTGAGAGAAGTGCTTTCGGGCAGAATATATTCACGACTCAACAAAATCTTGTATAAGTAAATGAAAACTAAGAGAAAAAAAAATATAATAGAAGAATTTATTTTACTTATTCTAAAGAAAATATCTCATAACATTTATTTGTGAATAATTCTACAATATCGTTCTATTAATGATTTATTCAAGGTATTCCACTGATGTAGTCTTCTCTTGAAGTTAATTCTTTTTCCGTTTTATTTTAAAATTGAGAATGGTACATTTTCCCCTGTTAGATTTCCTACATATAATTTCCAATGGATTCTCCATTTTCTTTGAGGAATTAGACGATACAGGAAATCAGTGAGGAAAATGGAGGAATGGGAGAGAGAGAGAGAGAGAGAGAGAGAGAGAGAGAGAGAGAGAGAGAGAGAGAGAGAGAGAGAG